AGCGCAATTTTGTCCTGGAGCCAATCATCGACTGCGAGAGCTTGTCAGCTTCTGGAGCATAACAGGACCAAAGGAGTCGTTGTCCATTCTGCTTTGTCGTTGCCTTGCTAGATTTGTGTAACATGTACAAACGACCCACTGTGTCCAAGATCTACGAGTTGTCCGACTGTCCGGCGGGACTGCCCAACTCTAAAGGAACGAATTAACTGCTTGGTACCTCGGGTTCCTGGAGTGTCTCGATTGTCTTGGAAATTGGCAACTTCAAGTCTCTGTACAAAGTCACCGCGGTGCACCTGTCCTTTTCGAGCTGAAAAGTCCTACTGAAAACGGCTCCGGCGATGAGGTCCTCTTTGAGGTGCATGTCCGATGTCCTGCCGGTCCATTGGAGGCGGAAACGAGTCAACGCTTCCTCCAAGCTCTTCGTGTTCTGAACGAGAAGCTTCGGGTCCGGAACGAACAATGATCGATGAGTCCGAGCGTAACAGTCCCACGTGACCACGCCGAGTGCCCACATGTCCGCCTTGGTGCTGACGTCGACCTTGCAGACTAGGAAAACTGTGACTGGGAAGCTTCTTCGAAAGGGATGCTCAAGGGAAAACAAGGAGAAGTTAACTGTAAGCTAAACGTAAACTGTTTCACTTAGGTTGTTGTCTTTGTCATTAACCACTTCAACAGACTAGTCTAGCTGTGGGTTCAATCTTCTGGTCGACAAGAGTAAAAGAAGCATGATGTATCAACCCTGTTAGTAGTTCCGTGCTGCATAGCGAGAAAGAACTATACTGCCATTGCTAAGTGGGCTGCACTGATGACTCTTCTCACACCCACTTTATGTGCTGCTAGCAGTAGTCTTTTGACTGCATCATGTGCTCAGTCTTTTCTGTCTCCCCAGATATCCCGGCCTTCTTGTCACCAGCAAAGAGGCACTCGATGGGTCTGTAGTACGCTGCATAAACCTCGTCAGCTCTTACGCGTGTTTGTCCGTCTACGGGTAGTGCACGACAATGTCCGAAGTCCGACAATGCAACACGGTGCGCGGGTAAGAATACCAGGAAATTGTTCGTCTTGACGTCCAAATGCACGATGTTCTTGCTGTGCACATAGCCCAGTCCGGCCAGTGTTTGCCGAAAATATGTGGTGACATGTGCTCGTCGTGTTGTCCATGGCACGGAGTCCTCAGTGTCCTCTGCGTGCAGCTGCCGAACAACTTTCAAAAGGTCCAATGAGGCATTCTCCATGAGAATGCCTGTGTGTCCAGTCGAGGATTGAAGCAAAGCGTAGAGCTGCACAACGTTCGGGTGTGGTCCGATCTTGCTCAGGATTGTGTACTCCCGTGTCAAGTCCCAAGACTTCTCCAGGCCATCCGTGTGTGTGTCGACCACTGCGGTGTCCTTGTCCGGCGTACGAACGGCGACCTTCAACGCCAGGCGGAGGTCCTGGAAATGGCATGCGAAGACCTCCCCGTATGTGCCTCGCCCAATGTGTCCTGCGGGTTCCAAGCATTCCTCCATTGTCCAACGGAACGTACCACGACCATCGAAGTCCTCCGGTTCACTGACCATAGGCAAGTCCATCGATTGCGAAACGGGTTTCTCTTGTCGTTTCGCACGGCGATATTCGTCTTTTGATGCCTGGTTTTTCTTGTAGCCGTCCTGAGCTCTCTGGGTGTACTCCTTGCGAAGGTCCGGCCGCTTCTTCCTGCAAGAGGACGGAAGTTGGGTAGTTTAGTCTGATGCTGTGCTGCCCGCTAGACATCATCAAGTTCAAGATCACCCATGTACAATGATGCCACTGATGTGAAACTAGATCAAAATATCACAACTTCATGTGCTTTATTTTCCTGAACTACTGCTATGCAACTACATCTTCAGAATAACTGAAGTGGACAGTCGCATCTGCTACCCAGAAAGTACTTTCAATGTCTATGTGATAACCTAGGAAGTCCTACTAGTACTAATGCTCTTGCTGTGAACAACATATGGCATCGTCGGTATATGTTGGAGGGATATCTGAAGGCATACTCGGCTACTTTTACAGGCAACAACCACACGGCATATCCAGTCTACGGCTGCGACCAAGGGACCATCTGTGCTGATAATGACATCGTCCTCGCAGGGGTGTTTTTTTGGTCAGCCGTCGGCGCCGTTTGGGGTCCACACCCTGGCTGCTCATGTCGCGCAAGAACAATGTCCATGCCGACGGCATATGCGAGAGGCCGACCTCCTTCAACTTCGGCCGTGCAACCATGGCTATCTCAAAGGGGTTCGCCGAAGGAACTGCGAGTGACTTCCGAGGAAAGAACAACGATTATCTACGTTGGTAGCACAGCCCAAGAATTAGAACAAAGGACAGGATGCGGAGTGGGTGTCGATGATTTCTCTATGGAACATAAAAGGAATTTCCGTTCTGCACGACAAGAACGAGGAATATTGGCAGGACGCGTGCATGGAAAACAGACTACTCGTTTCTCTTGTCTTACATATGGCAGGCTTCTCTACCATTGAAGGATGCATTCTGATAAACGAAAAGTAAGACCTGCAGGGTATCATGCATGTCGGACTTCTATGTTGGAGGGACACCTGCCCTTGCTTCATGTGTGGTTCATGCTTGCTTTTTTTTCCTCTCTGGATGGCTCTCTACGACATCATACAATTCAGAGCCAAGACAAGAGAAAATGATGTCCAAGCATGGGGCAGGAAACTTCAAGGATTCCACTGTCTGACACAGGACAACCTCCTCTTACTGCGAAACTCGCTGGACATGGGAGTCCAAGGCTGTGTCAAACTGCTTCTTTGTCCTGCGAGATGACAAGATGTACAAGGAGTCCGCAAAAATAGAAGCAACAACCACATGTGTCATGATTCCTGTACAATGTGTCGGAGTTCCGAGTAGCCCTAACGTGCATCTCATTATGGGAAATGTTTCTTCAAACGCTCCTGCAAATTCGCAGGTGGTTCCCGGCCTTCGTGTGCCTCTACCCATGCCCAAGCCTGCTCGACACAAGCACGAGCGGCATTGCCTTGCCCGGCTTGTGTCCAGGAAATACTCCGGGTCATATTTACAGCGGGGGTTCTGTAGGAGAGCTTCCAACGACCGTTCGGCGGGTCTGTATAAATTCCAACGCTGTGTGGAAACATGCTCTTCACGCGTTCGTCCACCGTGGAGTTCAGCTTCCCGTAGACCCGGTCGTACGTCTTGTTAGCTGAAGTAGCCTTCTTCTCGTTGTCCTTCGTTTTCGTCCTGCGTGCTTCTTGTCCTCTTTTCCAGTGGTCCTTGTCGAGGTCCTGCACGGCCTTTTTGTACATCGTGATGACCTTCGGCCGTAGGACCTTAGCTGAAACTGTGGAACGCCGTCTGCTCAGTTCCTTGAGTGCCTCGTCCTGCTCGCCGATCAAAAGTGTGTCCCGAACAACAGCTTCCAAGTCCTTGTCGTCTGCCTCCGGCATCCACTTTTCTGTCTCGTGTCTGCTGAGGATTCGAAGTACGACGTCTTCTTCGACCAACGTGTTGTCTACGTTCAACATGGCTGCAATGGCCAGCTGATGTCCGGCATCTGTCCCTGGGCTTTGTGTGGCAGTCCAACCCATGTGTTTGCACAGCCTCCGTAACAGTGCTTCAGAACAATGTGCAAAACCGTGCTCAGCGTGAAATTCCAGCAAGTTGAGCTTCTTGTCCACTAGAAGAACAACGCCATTGTTCATCGAGCTGCCCTGCGTAGAACGACCTTTTGTGCGAGTATGCTTGCTTTATCTACATCTGCAGGAGTACTGGACCTAGAATCCCACTGGCCATTTCTAGTTGCTGACGAACTGCTTTGAAGTGGTACTAGTAGGAGTAACAGGAGTGGTAGTACATGCAGTACGGAGTAGCAGTCGAAAGTAGTCCTTAAAGTAATAATATTAATACTCATTTTCGTCGTAGTAGTAGTAGTGGTAATAGTGTTTAATAGTACATGCACACTTGTCCTACTGTTAGTAGTGGTACCATTGGTAGTAATAGGAGTCGTAGTAGTACTACTTATACTACTACTACAAGTAGTGATACTACTACCACTACCACTACTAGTACTACTACTACTACTACTACTACTACTACTACTACTACTACTACTACTACTACTACTACTACTACTACTACTACTACTACTACTACTATTACTACTAGTACTACTACTACTACAACCACTACTAGTACTACTAGTGCTACTACTTGTACTAGTACAAATACTAGTAGTAGCAATAGTAGTAGTAGTAGTAGTAGTACTACTACTACTACTTCTACTATTACTGGTAGTAGTAGTACTAGTACTACTACTACTGCTACTACTACTACTACTACTACTGATACTACTACTACTACTACTACTACTACTACTACTACTACTACTACTACTACTACTACTACTACTAGTACTACTACTACTACTACTGGAGTACCAGTAGTAGTTGTAGTACTGGTACTAATACCAGTCCTACTACTCCTACTATTACTAGAACTACTAGTACAAGGCTATTGCTAGTGGTAGGCTACTACTAGTACTAGTAGGAGTACTACTAGTAGCAGTGCTATTGCATAGGCTAAGCTAGGCCAGTGCTAGTACTACGAGCAGTGGTATTACTAGTACTACTGCGACTACTACCAGTGCTAGTGCGGCTAGTGGTAGTGTTAGGCTAGTGCTACTAGTGCTACTACTACTACTACTACTACTTCTACTACTTCTACTACTAGTACTACTAGTACTAGTACTTCTAGTACTACTGCTGCTTACTTGACTAGTAGTAGTACTACTGGTGCTCTGCATGCTACTACAACTACTAGGAATAGACTAGTTCTCTAGTAGTTGTTACTAGTACTTGTACTATTACGAGTTCTCTTATTATTCACAGTTGCACTGGTAGCATTTCAAGGAGTAGTCGTCATTTTCGTGCTAATAGTACTTAGGTAGGATTATTATTGGTTATCCGAACACCGTGATTAATTAATATCAATCCAGGATGAAAGATTCATATGGGATCACGAAAACTAGTAAATCCCTGTGTCACTAGCATACTTTCGCAAATCATGGCCAGGACACGTAAAGGTGAAGCAGCTTGCAGTTTCAAAACAACCGTGTCCACGAATGTGCTGTGCATCCAATACAAAGAAGAAACGGTCATGTCGAACTCGAAGAAATCAGACCCGGCGTCGTGCACAATCTTGCCAGGCCATGCCAAACAGGCCACACGATAGCTCCGAACGATGAACAAAGGGGATTCACCGGCGAGTACAGCGTGTCCTTCGGGTAGGAGTCCAGAGCACCAGCCTTCTTCGCACAACTGCCAAGTTTTGGCTCGCCATGCCTTCCTCAACAAGGAATATGCTGCGAGAACCTCCTGCTCCTCCGAGTGGTTGTGCGACGCCCAGTCCCTGCGCTTCGTGACGTCTGCCAGGAGCTGTGCCTCCTGGATCTCCGCCGGGGTCATCTCTGCACTCGCAGATTTCGTGGAACGACGTGAACGCTTTGCGAGATTGTTGGCCGTCGTCTTGCTGAAGAGGCTCGTCAAGTTAAAGTCGGCCGGCGTGTGGTGCAGCTGGTTGGTGATTGCCTCCTCGCGTTTGTACATCTTGACCAAGCCCGACGTGCTCACAGATTTCCAACCATCCAAGTGTCCTAAGTCCTTTGCTGTGCCATGTCGTTGTTCAGCTTCGCGTTGAACTTTGTTGCAGTCCTCGATGATCTTCGTGTTCAAGAGCCCAGACCAAATACTTCGGAGAACGTGATCGATTTCCTCTGTAAGGTTGTCAAACCGAGTGCTCTGCAGTTCTGCGAGAAGGTACTGACTGATTTGTCCATGGGAAAAGTGACCTGCGAGTAGTTGCTTGGCCCTGAGGGAACCACTCCTCTGTGTGTCTTTGATGCACTCGTCCATCTCTTTGAAGTAGTCCAAACTGGAACGACGAAACCCTGGGTCACTGTGGACAAGTCCTGCAGTAGCACCGAAACCGCATGTGTGGTAGAGCTGTGCGCCGGCACGCAAACGCAAGATCTGATGTGTCAGCCTCGTCATTTGCAGGGCTAGAGTGTCCTGCCAAACCAACTCCTCTTCGTCCGGCGGGCGTGCACGTGAAAGTGCAAGGTCCAGTCCAAGGCGTGCTAGCTTGTCCAAGTTCGACCAGGTCTGCAGGTGCTCCTTTGCAGTGGTCATCCAGCTCCAATGTGACCACTCCGAATAATACGCCAACGTGGATGCACTGGAACGAAGCTCCTCCAGCATCCTGGAACAGCGAAGCTGCTCGGGTTGTAGCACGAGGAAAACCAATCTGGCGGTCGTCTTGTTGTCCGGCAGGATGATGAACTTCGTCATCGTGTGGAGACTGTTCGCATTGCCCTGCCGTGCTTCGTTCATGGAGTCCTTTGCCTCCTTCACAGCAGAGGACTTGCTTCCACCGTGTGTTAAGGAGGCACGAGCCTGGTTGCTGTCCTGCGTGAAAAGGTCCTTTGCGGAAAGTGTCCACTTGTGTTCCAAACAACACACCGTTAAAACAAGTGCCAGGACGGACCATTCTTTGTCCAACGCAGCATGAGCTGTTGTTAACGAATTGAAACGACTCTTGCTGGCCTTGGTGCCCTTTGTGCGGATGCAGTCCAATTCGGGCAAGGTCTGCAGCCATGCCCTACGCGTCTCCTCCGTGTTATTGTCCAGTGGGAGACCAGCGTCCAGCAATATGTCTTCGAAGAACATGAGCAAAACTGGGTCCGACGGGTCCATGCTGTCCTTCATGTGTTGGGCCGTCTGCTGGATCTTCTTGGACCATGTGCCCTTCTGCCACGGTCCGTATCTGATGTTGTACAACGAGATGCACCACTGTGCAAATTTGAGAAGTCCTGCTCCAGACATGGCCAAGGCCACGTCGTTGTGAGACCGATGTGCTGGGTCCGACACGTGTTCCACCCACAGGTTCTTCTTGTTCCTCAAGAAAGCGACTGCGGCGAGTTGCGTGGACTCCTGGTCTGTACACAAAATGATGATGGGCGCCCGGGAACCGCGTGTACTGTCCTCAGAGCCACGAAACGGCTGTCCATGTGCTCTGAGTTGACATCGCCCGAATGACCATCCCAAGGGTTTCAGTCCATGGTTGATGTCCTGCATCCACTGCAGCGTTGACACCCGTTCTTCTGTGTCCTCATGAGCAGAACCACGAGTTTTGTCACCGTCCAGAAACTTCTGCGATGCTCTGCTCCACATATTGGTCCATTCTTCGGCCGTTAAGCACGACGAGTGGTCCTGCACCTGTCAAAGTCTAAGACCTAAGACATGTGTAAGTTATGCACATATAAAACCGTGCTTCTAATGCCAAGTTTATGATGATTGCTTGGGAATGATTGTTGTTCCCTTGTAATTATGGTTCGTGGGCGTGCCAAAAACAAGGCGGGGATAGGCGTACCCCCTGGGCCGGGACAAGGGCCAAAACCAGCCAAAACTGTCCCAAACGGGTCCCGAGGGCTGCCGGGTCAACTTAGGCAAGGCTGGGCGTACCTTGCCTGGCTTGATTAACAGTAGAAGGCGGCCAAGAGCTTTTCCAGGTCACTTCCCAAAAACCGGAGACAGGCAGGGATGCGCGTACCCCAGGGTTTATATAAAGTTAATGAGGAAGGACCACCAGCAAACCCGACCGAGGCGGGGATAGGCGTATGGCGGGGATAGGCGTACCTCTTTTTGTTCTGAAAATGTGCTTGGCGCGGCCTGTTTTTGGCCCCCGAAAGCGTCAGGCTAGGCGTACTTCCCAGGGTGCTGAACCTCACAAACTTAGCTCGTTCTTCCTACACAAAAAAAACCGCCTGCGGCGGGCAAATCCAGACCTTGCCCTTCGTGTGATTGTACACCATGATGTTAAGCCAATCCTCGCTGCCCACGTGTAGTGCATCTGCAACGACACACAGTATGTCCGTCGAAAAGAACTGCTGCTTGCCGTCCTGCAGGTATGCGTACCTCTCCATGCGTGTGAGCCGGTGTGCGTCCATGGAAGTCTTTTTCTTCGCGTTCTTGGCGTCCTGCGTGGGTGTGTCCTCCACGGTGAACGTGTGCCCTTCCAAAGTGGAAACCAATGTCCGCTGTGTGGCACTGGAGGTAGCAGTCATCGATTCTTTAAAGACATGTGAAGAACGACGATACCCAGCGGCACTCCTGACAAACGAAAAACTCGTATATTTACAATAATCAAGTAATGTTAGGCTATTGCAGGAACCCACCCCCAGAACAGAACAAAACAAAATATGAATGCAAAGACACAATCTCCTCAGTTGCAGAAGCTGCTTCACATTCAACGACGTCCAACACGAGTGTGTACTCTCCGACGTTTCCACGGCTGCTGTCAATGTCTCCAACAAGAAGCACCGCAGCCTGAGGGCAGCTGCCCGTCGTTTTTGCGAGATTGTCCTTTTGGAGCAGTCCAACGCAACATCTTCTAGGACCTGAAGGAATCTAGGTCGTGATGTTGATATCGTACTCTGTAGAACTGGACATTGCTTGTGCAGCTGCTTCACATCCAGACTACCGTGTTGGAACACAAGTGTAGTTGTTTGCTCCTCCCACGTAAACACCGACGTGTGGTCCACCAGGAACAACGAGGCGAAGGCTTGCAACACATCTCCGGCGAGTTTGACCACAGTGTCTTTGTGCTTTCTCCATTTGGCATCCTTACGCATGCCCTGTTGCCAGTGGAAAAGAAGGAGAACGGTCGCGAATGTCGACGTGGAAAACTCCGAAACACGTGTGCTCCCAGATTGCTTCTCGACTTCTTCATCGCCGGGAAGCTGTTTGTCCGTGTCTGTGTCCAGGTCCATGTTTGTCTCCTCCGTGCCAGGGTCCTGCGAGGTCGTCTTTCGTTTCTTGCAGGAGCGGAGCTGAATATCAGAAAAGGAACTGGTACCGAAGTGTAACGAGCTCTCCTGCATCAGTTCCTCTTCCGAGCCTGTCCAACGTGGCCAAACAATCTCGAACAGCTTGTTCTTGAACGTGGAAAGACTCCCGGAGAGAAAATTTCGAGAGTGGTGACCGCCGAGGAACTCCACAATCCAACGCATGTGCCAAAAGTAGCGTCCCTTGGTGAACTTCGTCTTTGGCTCATCGTAGAGGTAAAACGTGCCTCGGAGATTGCTAGTAGCAGTCGTCCTAGTTCCTGGTATGACTAGTAGTCGTGGTTTTTCAGTAGTAGTGCTAGTAGTACTAGTACTACTAGTGGTAGTAATACTAGTGATACTAGTAGTAGTAGTAGTAGTAGTAGTAGTAGTAGTAGTAGTAGTAGTAGTAGTAGCAGCAGTACTTGTAATCGTCCGAGTTACTAGTTGTAGTACTAGTACCAGTACTAGTAGTAGTACTAGTAGTAACAGTAGTAGTGGTAGTAGTAGTAGTAGTAGTAGTAGTAGTAGTAGTAGTAGTAGTACGATTAGCAGCAGTAGTCGCACTAGTAGTAGTACTAGTAATAGTAGTAGTAGTAGTAGTAGTAGTAGTAGTAGTAGTAGTAGTAGTAGTAGTAGTAGTAGTAGTAGTAGTAGTCGTCGTCGTAGTAGAAGTAATATCAGTAATCCTAGTTAGTAGTACTAGTACTGGTAGTGGTAGTAGTAGTAGTAGTAGTAGCAGTAGTAGTAGTAGTAGTACTAGTAGTACTAGTCGTACTAGTAGTACTAGTACTAGTTGTTGTTGTTCTAGTACAAGTAGCAGTAATAGTAGTAGTAGTAGTAGTAGTAGTAGTAGTAGTAGTAGTAGTAGTAGTAGTACTACTACTACTACTCTAGAACTTGTAGTACTTGTAGTAGTAGTAGTAGTAGTAGTAGTAGTAGTAGTAGTAGTAGTAGTAGTAGTAGTAGTAGTGATAGTAGTGGTCGTAGCAATTTACGTGGTAGTAGGACTAGTAGTACTAGGAGTAGTAGTAGTAGTAGTAGTAGTAGTAGTAGTAGTAGTAGTAGTAGTAGTAGTAGTAGTAGTAGTTCTTATTCTTGTTGCCGTCGTACTCGTAGCATTCGTCGTAGTAGCAGTAGTAGTAGACGTAGTAGTACTAGTAGTAGTAGTAGTAGTAGTAGTAGTAGTAGTAGTAGTAGTAGTAGTAGTACTAGTAGCAGTAGTACTAGTAGTAGTTGGACTAGAAAAATAATACTATGACTACGACCACTAGTACTAGTAGTGCTACTAGTAGTAGTAGTAGTAGTAGTAGTAGTAGTAGTAGCAGAAGAAAGAAGTAGTAGTAGTAGTAGTAGTAGTAGTAGTAGTAGTAGTAGTAGTAGTAGTAGTGGTGGTAGTAGTAGTAGTAGTAGTAGTACTAGTAGTAGTAGTAGTAGTAGTAGTAGTAGTAGTAGTAGTAGTAGTAGTAGTAGTAGTAGTAGTAGTAGTAGTACCACTACTAGTTTCGTAGTGGTACTAGTTCTACTACTGCGACTCGCAGTAGTAGTAGAAGTAGTAGTAGTAGTAGTAGTAGTAGTAGTAGTAGTAGTAGTAGTAGTGGTAGTAGTAGTAGTAGTAGTAGCCGCCACAAGTGCTCAAGCGGCCGCGCTGGATGAGAGGTTTCGAACAGGCTTGGGGCGCAACTGCTGTGCTAGAGGCTCCTACTGGGCCCTTTTCTGAACAGTAAAGGTTTGCGCCTCCTTTCTACGCCATGGTCCTCTCCCTTTTCTCGCAGGAGCTGCTTTGAGCCGCCAGGTCCCAATTCCTGGGCCCAGACTCTGTTTAAAACATTGCAACACTGGGCAGGCGGTAGGGTTTCCACCTCCGCGCGGTGGAGGGAGTCATTAGGCTTCGGTCTCTTGACGAAAGTAGCGGATGGCGCAATTGCCAGTGCACTCACAAAACTTCGCATCTCTTCGTAAGAATTCGTTCAAGACAGCATGTAGAAGGACAATCCGTAGTGACGGGCCCGTACCATACCGAGGGCAGGTTCTGACACCTACCCTGGTTGATCGTCTGGGGGTACGCCCCCCACCCACTCGAAGAGAGCTTCAGTCACAGACTGCTGACTCCCCTGCATATGGCACAGCCTCCCGCAGGGCAGGCCGGTTGGAAAGATCCATCCGAGTTATTTCGTGGAACGCGGGACACCTAGGTCAACAGCAATGGGGCGAACTCAAAACGTGGCTAGCAGCTGAAGCCTCGCATCACTGTGACGTCCTCATATTACAGGAAACGCACTGGACTGAGACCAGTGAATTCAGCGTTTCAGGGTGGTACTGTATCTCCTCAGCCTCGGAGTCTACCAAACCAAATACCCGGCCTAAACAAGCTGCGAAGCGTAAAACTCGGCAAGAACCGCGAGCTCCATCCACGACTCGCGCTGATGGAGTCATGATCCTATTCTCGCCCAAGTTCGCCCCCAAGAGCTTACGCTGGAAGGAGTGGAGCCCGGGTAGGGTCTTAGAAGCTCGTGCAGACATTGCAGGTACTCGGCTGGTTGTTGTCGCGGTGTACCAACACGCTTGGTCTTCTGCCAACCAGTCCAATAAGGATGACCGTGCTAAGGTACTATCCGTCATGTCCAAGGTGATCAAGCAGGTGCCTAAGAGGGACTCCCTTATTGTAGCAGGTGATTTTAACACTTCCCTGCGTCCGAGCCCTCCATTGGTGGGAACGCACGTGAAGCCGCCCACTGAGGACCGCCCTGACGAATCCAACTTGTTTAACCTGCTGCTCAGGTTGCGTTTGGTTGCCCTTAACACCTGGCAATGTGACCATATAGCCACCTTCTCACAAGGAGGAGTGGAGTCGCAAATTGACTTCATTCTAACCAAAGAATCTACGGCGGGAGGCAAAGCAAAAAGGTCAGCCCCCTGGGTGGACTGCCCGTTGGGAAGCTGGAAGAAAGGAGGGCATTACCCGCTTAAAGCTGACGTACCCCTCCAACATCACTGGCTGCTCCCATCCCATAAGCTCAGCACGCGCCGTTACGATTCACTAGCTCTACAGGCCTCGGTCAGAGAGGAGGACGAGACGGCAAAGGCACTGCACAGCTGGATAGCTTCCAGAATTGACACCTGCCAGGACCCCAAGGCATGGAATGCGTTGCTTTTGGAAGGTGCAGAACGCTTTTTTCCAAAAATTCCCAAACGAAGACCGATCCCGTTGGAGTCAGAAACCCGACGCATGTGGCGGGCCCGTACCCATGACAGGGTTGCGAACACAACTCCCTCAGCACAGCTGATCGAGTCACCTAACGTAATGGCACAGCCTCCTAATCAGCACATGCCACGTCCGCCAGACACTGAAGCTGAACTGGCGCAAGTGGCACATCGCCAGGCTGTGAAACAAGCAAAGAAAGATAGGATCGCGAGTTTTATATCGGAGGTGGACGCGTGTCTGGCTGAAGGTGACCAACACATCTCCTTTCAAACCCTCAAAAAACTGCAGCCTTGGCAGCCTGCGCGCAGAGCTCAGCTCAAGGACAACACAGGACACTTGCTGGGTCCAGCGCAGGAGCTAGCAGCCCTCAGGGAATATGCAAATCAGGTCTTTGCGGCCCACCCTCCATTACGGACACTGCATGGAGCTTTCCCTGTTTTGGCGCCGCCCAAACTAGCAGCTCACATTCGCTCTATCAAGCCTAATAAAGCTGTTCCTGACGGAGCCGCACCCGCGGCTGTGTGGAGACTGTGTAGCGACATCGTCGCACCGATCCTCTCAAAACACGTAGCATCCAAGCAGGCCGAGGACAGCCTCGAATCCGACCTCGTAGACGCTGATCTCTGCTTAATTCCCAAGCCGGGCAAACCCTCTGACAAACCAGCGAACTTGAGACCCTTGGGTATCCTTCGACCTGACGCTAAGGGACTGGCGGGAGCGGCCAGAGAAGCGCTTCAGCCACTGACCCTCTCGTTCCTCAAGCACATGCCACAGTTCGCTTATCTACCAGGTCGGGGGCTGTCAGACGCGCTAGAACGTGTGGTGCATCACTTGCGTGAGGCTCGATCCCTGTTAGAACAGGCCCACCCCACGAGACATGCCTTGCAACAAGGCACTCAGGCCCCAGGCTTAGTTGGCGGCCTCACCTTTGCTCTTGACCTGAGCCAAGCGTTTGACACAGTCTCTCGCCAAGAGATCATCGACCTTCTTCAGAGAGAAGGGGCCGATCAGGACACAGTCCACCTCGTTCAGGCTCTGCATGACGGGTCTCGTTATGTCCTTCACGCGCAGGGAGATTCCACCTCTGTCGAAACCACAGCAGGCATAAAACAAGGCTGTAAGCTCGCCCCCACACTCTTCTCGCTCCTTACAGGTGACCTTTTCCGCTCTCTGGTTGACCTATTCGGTGCTGAGCAGGTCTTGAAATTTCTGACAGGATACGCCGATGATCTCACGCTCCATCGGACTATCCGCTCCGACAAGGACCTCAAGGCCATTCATGCGCTCATCGCAGCGTTACTTGAGGAGGTCCGCAAACACCGCCTCCGAGTCAACATTAGCAAGTGCGTCATCTTGGTGAAGTTAGCGGGTAGAGAATCCCAAAACGTGTTGAACAAACACGGCTGCTGGATCACAAACTCCAAGGGCGAGCAGGTTCGAGGATGGCGCATCGGGCCCAATAGATCGTTCCCCGCCTTCCAGCGGGTTTCCTGTAGCAAGTACCTGGGGGTTATGATCTCCTACAACCACTTCGAGCTGCAGACATTGCATTACCGCATAGGGGAGGCAAAGCAAAAGCTGCATCAAGTCCGCCAATTTGTCTACAATCGTAGGTATGCGAGCACCATGTCGCGACTCAAGGTTTGGCAAAGCACAGTCCTGAGCACACTGACGACAGGCCTATCAGACGTCGGACTAAGTGAGGAGTCGGCAAAGCAGCTACGAAGTTGGCATGCTTACAAGGTGCGATCAGTGCTGAACTTGCCAGCACATACCAGCCGCATCACCACTAAGGATCTTTTCCAGCTTTACAGTGTTCAGGATCCGGTTCAAGCGATGCAGATCAAGCTAAGGAAGAGACTCCGCAAACTTGAGCGACGCGCAGCCAGTAGCCCAGACATCACAACCGAGCACTCGGTTTTGCAAGTCATCCGGGACAAGCTGTCCTTCCTATCACAACTCCCCGAAGCAGCTGAACACCCTGTAGCCCTACATGCGTGCACACTCTGCGATGCCTCCTTCGAGACAGCAAATGGACTACATTTACACAAGTCGCGCGTACATCCAGCCAGCATTGACCGATTTGTACCCTCAAGCTTCGATCGACAACTCCACGCGGTGGATGGGATGCCGCAATGCGCCGCTTGCATGCGCAAATTTCATCAATGGAAAGGTCTTCGTGACCACCTGTTGTCAGGAGCATGCCCGGAACCCCAGAAGCTTCGATCTCTGAATGCGACGGACAAACTCTCAAGTCATCCTGAGGTAAGGATCCTTTCTCAGCTGCGACAGGACATTGCTCAGCTCCCACAACATCGAATAGCGGTGCTCTCAAAGACAGCGGAGGCCCGGGTCCTGATCCATCGGTGCCTCACGTGTGACTTCTGGACTTTCGATCACACCAAAGTTAAGTCACACTTCCGTCAGGCGCATCCTAAGGACTGGTCAAGGCTACACAAGCGTGCAGTCTCTATATGCCAGGGCTTCTCGCCCCACCTTGCCAAGGGACACCCGTGCTCCTTCTGCGGTTACAAGGTTTACGATCGCAGACTGCACCCGGAGCAATGTCCCGTGCTTTATCAGGTTAGCACGCAGTGGCTGCGAGGGCAACCGGAGGTGGAGGAAGCCGTTATGGCTCCCCCCTCCAAGCCCCAAGAGAAGTCACTAGCCCATTTCTTTAGGTCACGGTCGAATGGCACAGCCTCAACTCAGTCGAGCACAGCTCGTCAACCCCCGACAGACCAGCAGGAGTCCATTTCGCAGTCCCTTGGACATGCGGCAATGCGACCAGCAGGAGTGCACCAGCGGGCTCTGACTAACACGTCAAACTCGTGTTACGCTAATGCTCTGTTCCAGGCTCTGCATCAGATCTCGAGTTTTGGGTATGATCTAGGTGCTTTCCAGTCCGTCCTGTCCCATCTGGGAGACGAGAGAGCCCCCAGATTACTGAACCTGTTCGGCCTGTTTGAATTTCGCCATGCCATTTCAGGCTGGCGACTGGATGGCAGACAGCACGACGTTTCAGAGCTGCTTCTACATATGCAGTCCAAGCCCCTAGGCTCCCTTCAACAAACACAGTGGCAGGGTCGTACAGATGGCGAGGTTGAAGATTCAGACGTGGGAGTCAGCCCTCTCTTCCTTCCCCTCCCGTCTGGCCCATTGACATTATCGACTTGCTTACGGTTGTGGGAATCCCAGACCTTTACCCGAGCGCTTGTCTGGTCACCTGAACTCCTTGCGATTGTGATTTGCCGCTGGCAGGATGGAGTCAAGAACACTCAGCCATGTCTTTGGACAGGCCGCGCCACGGTGCCCGTATGGACCTCAAGCGAAGATCGAACCCAGCGACTCTATCAGGTCATAGCAGGCGTTGCCCACTTTGGGGACTCCCTTGCTTCTGGGCACTACCGCGCTTTTTGGCCGGAGGACCCTGCGGATGCAAACTCTCAGGTTTGGATCTCTGACGACTACAGGCTCCCGGAAAAGGCCTCACCGGCCTTGAATCTGTCCATCTCCAGGAATGTCTACATGCTTTTCTTGCAACGAATTCGCTAGCATCATCGTTAGGTGATGCATTCCGGCCCAGCTTCGTCCTTGGGGGCAACGCAGGGCGCCCGTGCGTGAGAAGCCTATAGTCAATTGGAAGTTGACATAGGCCGCCTCACGTCAAGGCCAAGTGTGTCATGAGCGCACGCGGACATGCACACACCGTAATTTCTTTTCCTCTCAATCAGCTCGCCCTTTTTTTGTATAGCTTCCTATCCGACTACTAGGCCGGCATGACCGCTTCCCCTGTTGCAGTCAAGAGTCCGGAGCACAAACGCTCCCGAAATGGCACGGACTTTGATGACGCTTCGGGAATGGAAGTTTCAGAAGAACCTCCTCTCGAGTCTCTCTCGCCTGCGGCCAAGGCCGCTGCCCTGCCGAGGCAACTGGACCAGCCGCGCCGCAAATCTATCCCGAGACAGAAAGGACCTGGAGCGGTCCAAGCGCTCGGGCAGGGCACCCAGCCTCGAGCACAATCAGGTGCCATTCAGGCGCTGAGCCCGGAAGAGCTTACCAAAGCATTCCTTGTGCACGACGACCAAATGAGTCTACTGCAACACCAGCTGTCATTGGTGTACAAACTTCCCCAAGACCACCAACTTTCGAAGGCACTAGTTGCGTCCGTGAAATCCTGGCAGGGAGGATTGAAGAAGCTGCGCCAAGGAGAACCTCACCCCGAGGGATCGTGCTCAAATGCAGTCTCCCTAGTTCTTCTCCACGAACTTACCAAGGGCAATCCCCCAGAACACGTGGACAAGACGGAGTACGGCAAGTTACTGAAGGTGGTTGACTCCATGATCAACATCACCACAGACAAGACCAAGCTGGCACAGGACATAGTGCACTGCTCAGCTAAGCCAAACAAGCTCAAAACGCACGTTATCCTTGATTTCAGGGTGGCCATCTACTCAGACCTTCTGCCATACCTCTCCCTTCTCGCCTCCCTCTTTGACTCCCACGACGGCTTTGAGCGCCTGGGAAGAAAGGCGCCGGGAGGACTGGCCCGCAAGGCTCGCGGCCGACCCTGAGTTTGGCCTAGTTGAAGCACACAGTGCACTAACTCCCTCAGCACAGCTGATGACTTGGTCAGTCTTGCACATTTGTGTGAAGTTTCGCAAAAGGGGGGTCGCCAGGGAATTAAGCTTTGGAACTGTCCAAAACAAGTTTATCAGAGTTGAAATCTGTATACGCGAATTTAGTTTTGTTTCCATTTGTTTGGTTTTCTGACATTGTGTGTTTGTGCACTGAAAACAAGCCTTTGTGCTAACTATTGTGGTCTGACCTGCCTTGTTTAGGGTAAACACAACTCTCATCTGGCAAATTCCGGAAACAAGGGGTGCCTCTAGCAATTAAGCCGTGAGCTTCGGGAATAAGCCCAAATCGTTTCCGAGCAGAGTAAAAATGAGAACAAGAAGTTCTCAGTAAGAATACTGTGAGTTTGCTGAGCAATGCAAAACAGAGTGAGGAAGCGCTCTCTTCTTTTTACTCGCGAAGGATGCTTGAAGTCGGTGCGAGGCAATGCGATGCCCAGTAACAGGAGGAGCGGGGCAGTGCGTTGCCGAGCTCTTTTCCCCCTGGGTTGAGGAGGGTGGGTGAAAAAGCTAAAATCGGAAGCGATCCGGGTCGACAGCTTGAGCTAGCAGTGCGGCGCAAGGCGAAGCAATGCAAGCTCAAGTACTTACCGAAAACACTGTCGACCAAAAACAACAAACTCACGACAAGCGTGCCCGGCACTGGAGTCGCGTCGTCGTCGTGGCACCCTCCTGGCTTCCCCTCACGAAGAGGGTACTGAGCCCTCCCGCCGCGACAAGGCGGGGCGCCATCGGGAGGGAAAAAAGGCCGAGGCGGTCTGGGCGGAGCCCGTGAAGGCGGTAGGGCGGAGCCCGTTAAACGTCGGGAGCTCAGGGCCGGACCATTCACCGCGACCGCGAGCGACTGCGGCTTCGCTCTCGGTACGGACGAGGACGAGGCTCCTCCTCCTGCAGTGAAGTAGCTACGCTCAGAAGCGAAAGACTGCAGGACCCGAGCCTCCACTTCGACGTCCACGTACTCTTCCTGCGATTGGCTGAGCTCACAAGCGAAAGACTGCAGGACCCGAGCCTCCACTTCGACGTCCACGTACTCTTCCTGCGATTGGCTGAGCTCACAAGCGAAAGACTGCAGGACCCGAGCCTCCACTTCAACCTCCTCGTACTCCTCTTCCTCGTTCTCTTGAAGGGCCTGGTGCAACGGAATCGGCAATATCCGGGTTGAGGGAAGCGGGCGATGGGGGTTGAAAGAAACGCACAATCTGAGTTGAGGGAAGCGGGGAACATGGTTGAAGGAAGCGGGGTTGAGAGAATCTTGGTTGACGGAACCGCGCGAAGTTGATGAAGAAGGCTTGCACCCAACACTTGCAGCCGCGCACCTGCAGCTGCTGTCGCAGCCACGCCAGGCGCCGCTCCTCAATGGCGTTGATCCGCCCGCAAAGGCGCCACAGCTCGACTAAATTGAGCTGTCCGAGCACTCCCTCTATAACCCGATTGGGCAACCTAACAAGGCGTCTGAGAAAAGTCATGGCTGCGGCGGGTGTCAGCTGCGTGAGTGCTCATGATGAGTGTGCCTACCGGAGCCCTTGACGGTGGTCCCGTAAACTTGTGCGCGCGAACAACAAAACAAAGGAAACGCTCCATGGCCCCATCGCCCATCACAGGGAATCATCGAATGCAGTGACATTAGGCAGACCATCATTGCGAACTCAATATTTCGCACCCGGAAGAATACAAACTCACTGATAAACAACCAAAAATAACTGCATTCCGATATTCCGAATGTCCATGTTACCTTTCCACACCCATAAAAGACTCACAAAACTAGGGTCGAGCTGGCAACCTTTTTCGACGTTCAGTGCATCCGACAAGAGTAAGCAAACTTCGTTGGATCGGCTGCAGAACGATCTCTAAGCAGTGCCCGTCACTGACTTTGAGTGAGACTCTCAGACTTTAAACCTTTCAGTTTCAAGTCACTCGTGACATATCTGTCAGTGACATGTCCTCTTGTAAATCTGTCTGAAACGGCAATGCCATAATAAGTCTAGACTCATGTGCTTTCCTCGCATAGATGCTCAAGCGGCCGCAATGTTCATACCACGCGATACGCATGGCCTCGTTATTCTCATCTCCACGAAGAGCGAAGCTGACTGCAACGATCGTTGTCAAATCGGAAGGGATTGATGCAGCAGCTCTGGCGAATCTCTTGACCATCGCTTGGGCACACCCGAGTGCGTTGTGTGCACTTGCAGAGCCCACGATTTGCTGAATCTCCTGGAACATCTCGTTTAACGCAGTCTCGTGCCCATCGTAGTCATTCGGTTGCAACTGTCTCTGCCTGGGAGGAGGCAAGGCTGGCTCTGGCTGCTGAGACCCTGTCTGCTCCTCTTCCCTCGGTGACTGTTGATCTGACGCCGACTCCGCCTCTATCACTGCAGCATTCCGCTTCTGATTCGGTCTAGCAGCAGCTCTCACTGTAGTTCTGTCGGGCACGCCTCCGGGCGACACAGCACACTTCTCTCTGAAGCGAATTTTCGGCCATCTTCTGTTAGCACCCCGCTTGCTCACCGGACGGCAAGCTTCGCACTCGTTGTTTGGCGGCTTTCGAAAAGTGTGCTGACCGCACCCATCCATGCGGCACAGATACCCGGGCATGCCTATCTGGGTAGTTTTTCTTGAGACTGAAATTGTAACAAAGCCGCTGAAAGCGGGCTGCCACCGTATGTCGGGTTTTGTCGACTATCATTCCCACTTTCGTCCTACCATGCCATCGCAGCCCAGCTGGAGCGTTTTGAGAAACATGTGGCATGTTAAGTCTGGAGACCCAAGCGGGAGGGCAGGGCTTGAAAGCTTGGGGCTTGAAGTGACGTAAGGCCTAAGGGCCTAAACACAACAACCCCAATCTTTTAACCCTTCTAGGACCCAGCCAACAGAACTCTCAGAAACCCTGGTCTTCTCAACATTAGGACCTGTGGGGATGCAGTGGTTTAGAGGATTGGAGGATTGAATATACTGTTGACGGAATTTACAACTCGCACCAAGCCTGGACTGGAAACAGGCCTCCAACTTGAATGTAGGTGTAACATATTGCTAGAAAATTACAAGGTCGCACCTGGTCGCACCTGCTATCTGAACGTTTAACCTACCCTGAAACATATCTGAAACAATTGTCTTTTTTTGCTGACAGACAGGATTGCAACTGCTGTTTGATAATTTCGTTTGTGCTGCAAATTACAAGATCGCACCTGGTCGCACCCGAATGTTCGCAACAACCCTCGCGGAAAAGATATCCGGCACCGAGAAACTAACCATTGACAAGTTGAACCCCTGAAGCTGACATTTGTCTGGGAAATTACAAGGTCGCACCTGGTCGCACCTGCTATCTGAACGTTTAACCTACCCTGAAACATATCTGAAACAATTGTCTTTTTTTGCTGACAGACAGGATTGCAACTGCTGTTTGATAATTTCGTTTGTGCTGCAAATTACAAGATCGCACCTGGTCGCACCCGAATGTTCGCAACAACCCTGGCGGAAAAGATATCCGGCACCGAGAAACTAACCATTGACAAGTTGAACCCCTGAAGCTGACATTTGTCTGGGAAATTACAAGGTCGCACCTGGTCGCACCTGCTATCTGAACGTTTAACCTACCCTGAAACATATCTGAAACAATTGTCTTTTTTTTGCTGACAGACAGGATTGCAACTGCTGTTTGATAATTTCGTTTGTGCTGCAAATTACAAGATCGCACCTGGTCGCACCCGAATGTTCGCAACAACCCTGGCGGAAAAGATATCCGGCACCGAGAAACTAACCATTGACAAGTTGAACCCCTGAAGCTGACATTTGTCTGGGAAATTACAAGGTCGCACCTGGTCGCACCTGCTATCTGAACGTTTAACCTATATACCCTGAAACATATCTGAAACAATTGTCTTTTTTGCTGACAGACAGGATTGCAACTGCTGTTTGATAATTTCGTTTGTGCTGCAAATTACAAGATCGCACCTGGTCGCACCCGAATGTTCGCAACAACCCTGGCGGAAAAGATATCCGGCACCGAGAAACTAACCATTGACAAGTTGAACCCCTGAAGCTGACATTTGTCTGGGAAATTACAAGGTCGCACCTGGTCGCACCTGCTATCTGAACGTTTAACCTACCCTGAAACATATCTGAAACAATTGTCTTTTTTTGCTGACAGACAGGATTGCAACTGCTGTTTGATAATTTCGTTTGTGCTGCAAATTACAAGATCGCACCTGGTCGCACCCGAATGTTCGCAACAACCCTGGCGGAAAAGATATCCGGCACCGAGAAACTAACCATTGACAAGTTGAACCCCTGATGCTGACATTTGTCTGGGAAATTACAAGGTCGCACCTGGTCGCACCTGCTATCTGAACGTTTAACCTACCCTGAAACATATCTGAAACAATTGTCTTTTTTGCTGACAGACAGGATTGCAACTGCTGTTCGATAATTTCGTTTGTGCTGCAAATTACAAGATCGCACCTGGTCGCACCCGAATGTTCGCAACAACCCTCGCAGAAAAGATATCCGGCACCGAGAAACTAACCATTGACAAGTTGAACCCCTGATGCTGACATTTGTCTGGGAAATTACAAGGTCGCACCTGGTCGCACCTGCTATCTGAACGTTTAACCTACCCTGAAACATATCTGAAACAATTTTTTTTTGCTGACAGACAGGATTGCAACTGCTGTTTGATAATTTCGTTTGTGCTGCAAATTACAAGATCGCACCTGGTCGCACCCGAATGTTCGCAACAACCCTCGCGGAAAAGATATCCGGCACCGAGAAACTAACCATTGACAAGTTGACCCCCTGATGCTGACATTTGTCTGGGAAATTACAAGGTCGCACCTGGTCGCACCTGCTATCGGAACGTTGTAGACTTGTAGACTACCCGGACCACCGTGAAACATACGTGAGTCAACTATTGATATTTCTTGTTGACACACAGTGGATCACGGATCTGAACGTTTCTAAGACCTGATGGCGCGATATTCGATAGGCGATAGGCCATGTTTTCACAGTTTGTACCGTGCAGCTGATTGCACTTCACAGTTCGCGATGTACAGCTGACGGCTGCATGGATCACGGCATGACATCCCGTTCATATCTCGCACGCCAAGCCTCATGAACACAGGATTGCACCATGCTTTGCACTTTGCGGTCGTCGTGGTTCGTGAGTCACACAAGGAAAGCGAAGTCAGTCCCAGCACAACAATGACACATTGCCGGTCATTACCGCAAGGTACTGCAAAATGCAACTGTCAACTGTGTAACATACTGACTTCTGGCAGTTCTCAGTTCGCCTGACCGTGGACCGTCCTTGCACTTATCACAGCTAGAAGTTATCACGATTTGTCAAGCATTGAAACTTTAAAGTTTGATAAATCGGGAAGCCACCGGACCGGACGGTCCACACAGGATCACACAGGGACACAACCGAGAGTCGAGAGTCGACGAGTACGGTAAAGAAGTTGCATCTCCGTATTTACCACGTGTTCACCACTCTCATGTCGACTCATGCTGCTGCTGCTACTGGCCCTTGGCAGCACCGCCGTCGTCTTCGGCTTTGAAAAAGCCGCGCAAATCAGCTGACTTCGGTGGGCCAGACTTTTCCATAAGCATGTCGATGAGCCGCTCTTTTCTTGCTGTGGCGATTTCTTTCGTCTCCTGCACGGGTCCCCACAGCCCCGAAACCCGAACCCCCAAGCCCTCAACCCTCATAGAGCCGTTGTACCCTAAACCCTTGACCGCGAAACCCCCAACGCCCTCAAACCCCCTAAACCCCAAACCCTAAACCCTCAACCCCCTTTAACCCCAAACCAAAGCCTCCTGCGACAGGAACTTCAGTTGTTCCTTGAGTCTCGTTCTTAACTCCGGCACTTTCACCTTCTGCAACTCACGGCGAGATTTGGCCTGATCAGTCTTGCCATATGAACCATGTGTGCATACTGAATACGTACTTGATGGCTTGGAGGAATGGATTTGTGCTGAGGAGGCCTCTGTCGCCCTTGTCCCTCCATCACGAGCATCACCATTGCGTGTCTTCTGCATTGGCTGCATCTCCGAAGGCGCTGCGGTCTCCTTCACACCGGCCGATGCCAGTGCCTTTCAACACCGACCCAGTCGCTGTCCATGGACAAGGAATGGAATGAAATATCCACACAGACATGGTCAGAAGGACGAGTCTTCAGCACCGTCAGATTGATTGACACCATACAAGTTACAAGTCAAGACGTGACACATAAAGACACCGCCGCAACTGCCACATTCCCAAGACCAACTCATGTAGTCTCAGTCGAGGTGCTGGCCCAACTAGCTCATCTGACGAGTCGGGATCGATGGGGTTCGACGCCTGAGTTTTGATTTGGCACAAGCGGCACAAGACTCGACCGATGAGCATAAGCAGTGAGTGATGCGAAACCTCACAAACAAAAAACATGCTGTCACAGCCACATCTGGAAATGGACCACCTGTGGAAAATGGCTTCGTTTCCATCGGAGTCGAACTCGGAGCCATTGGAGCCGTCACAGTAGGGGGTGCCTCACGACTCAGCGGTACGGGTACGAGGCATCGCGGGATGAGTCCGAAACTGAATGGTACCGGCATCGCCTGACGTTTTTTTAGAAAACATGTGTCATGTGACCTTATATGTGCTTTCGAGCAACCTCTTCCGACTTCTGGACCTCCTCCATGGGACGCGCTGAATCAGGCAACTCCTGGGTCGCCTGGGCCGCATTGGCAAGGTCGGTTAAACATGTATGGTACACAGGCTACAAAGACTGTGATATGCACAAAAACGACACCGACCCCCGAATCACACCGAACCACAACACCAACCGGCAAGAACGGAGCTCAGAGACGCCTTGTGCTACTCTGACATACGTGGAGGCCTTTTTGATTTAGTAAGTCTATACTTAGTATCCCCTACAAACCCGATGAAAATCACCATAACCCACCTTACTAACTCTACTTACTAAGTCAAAAGGGCCTCCAAGTAGACTTCGACATATACGATTCCTCACATGTGCTTTCAAAAACACACATGCAATAATTAGGTTCCTGATATGGAGTGATATTGCCGAGTGCTTACTTACAGGCTACAGAACTGCAGCAAATCAACACTCCCCGCCTTGCACAAACCGGACTCTGGCCGATCCCCGAACGCCGAGCATTCAGACACATTTACGACAACTACACTGCGTTCTCGTAGCCTCTGTGGGAGGAACCTCTCCCGACTTCTGGGCCGACTTCTCCTCCGAATCAGGCAACTGCTTGAGCTGTTCCATCAGGGCATCCTGGGCAGCATGGGTCCGCTGGGCACACGCTCGGTACACAGGATGCAATGACGATCATGTGCATTGTAGGAATATACTTGTGCTGAGGAGGAACCTTCTCTTCAGCCTGTCCATCACCAGCATCATCCATGTGTGTCCTTTTCTGCTTCTTCTGCATTGGCTGCATCTCCGAAGGCGTTGAGGCATCCTTCACACCGGCCGATGGCAGTGCGTTTCAACACGGTCACCGACCCAGTCGCTGTCCATGAACAAGGAATGGAATGAAACTACACACAGACATGGTCAGAAGGACGAGTCTTCAGCACCGTCAGATTGTTT